ATAAGACTACAAAACATACTCATACGGCACATGGTGCTGAAAACGTTAGCCAAGCACACAAGTGAATAAGACTACAAATCATACTCATACGGCACATGGTGCTGAAAACGTTAGCCAAGCATAAGACTACAAAACATACTCATACGGCACATGGTGCTCGCAGTGCTGTTAACGCACAGGGCCCTCTGCTTCTCGGTAGGCGCATAGAACAGTACCACTCGATCATTGACCTGAATTAGGTTGAGCAGTCTATAAGGTAAGCGATGTGTATGTCGGTACAACATGTCAAACGACCAGTGACCAGGGATACTAAGTGAAACCCTTATCAGCACAGGCGGCTTGCAAAACCGCCCGATACTTGACCTCGACTACTGCTATGTGATATACAACGTGCTAAGCGGGTCGTATGAACAAGACCACTCAACTATTGGACAGGATGCAGGTTAGCTTGCAACCATAACAATCCGTTTCTAGAAATGCGTAACTAAACCGCTCGGTTAGTGTCCCTGATACGGTGAAGCCCTCATCGTGATGAGTGGTGTTCAGGGGTGTGACACAAGGCCACAAGGTCCTTCACGAACAGTACATAAGAACCTTCCATGGTAATTGGCGTTTAGGGTGAGATAAGACTGTACGATAATATAAGGATAGCATTCTAGTTGCTTAGGTGTGTAAAAAAAAGAAGTAGAGCTAGTCCCCTCGATAATTGGCCTGTTAGGTAGGCATGCCGTGTGGAACGCAGTACTGTCCAGATAGATGCATAGCAAACATGTGTGATCGGTCCCTAAAAGCGAGCACTTTCGCATAGACATATAAGCGCGAATACTACACACACGGAGAGACATTGTACGGATCATAACGTAAAGTTTGCATCCGAATAGACTAAAATAACTAGCACGCTCTAGCGACAGGCGATTGAACGAGAGAACTGGCAGTTGCGGCGGTGTCACACTGTGCTCACCGATGTGATATGACCCATCTTCCGTTGCACAACACAAGGACATTCACATATAGTCCGGATACACACACACACAATATATAAATACGTACATACATATATATATATATATATATATAAATAATACATAAAATATATATATATACATACATACATACACACACACACACACTATAACACACACACACGTATATATATATGTATATATATATAGTATGTATAATATATATATATTTATATATAAATATATATATATATTATAAAGATGTATATGAATATATATATATATATATATATATACACACGCACACACATACATACACACACACACACACATATATATATATATGTATATATATATGTATATATATATATGTATATATATATGTATATATATATATATAAATATACACATAGTCATACATGCTCACACATATAGTCATTTACAAAACTCACTTTATGTGACAAGAAACCCTCGCCCAAGCGTGCACCGGCTGCACCCAGGATAACATCCACGGGCGTCGCAGACATCGGATGTACTACCGGCGAACTGGTGATCTCGGCCGTCTCCGCATCGATAATAGTCAGCTGTATGTACCGTGTCGGCATCAAGTTCTGGTGCACATTCAAGGGGTGTTGCACGTGCATGTGTGGTTGTACAGGTGGCGTATGTGCAGGTTGCGGTGCGTGCCTGCGTTGGTGGTCTGGTGGGGGTTGATGTGGTTGTAGGTGCTGGTAGTGGGATTGGTGGGTGTTTTGGTACGGCGGGGGTTGGTGGTGTGGAGGGTGGTGATGAGGCGGCAGGCACTGTTGTTGCTGAAACAGTGGTTGTGGGTATTGCGGGTGTCGCATATTCGGTGGTTGTTGCATATTCTGTGGTTGTTGCATATTCTGTGGCTGTTGCATATTCTGTGGTTGTTGCGTATTCTGTGGTTGTTGCATATTCTGTGGTTGTTGCATATTCCGTGGTTGTTGCATATTCTGTGGTTGTTGCATATTCTGTTGCTGTAGGGGTTGCGGTTGATACTGTGGTTGTTGCTGGTACTGTTGCTGCGGGTACTGCTGGTACTGTTGCGGCTGTTGCTGGTACATCGCTTGTTGTTGTTGTGAATGCACGGTTTGTTGCTGATAGGTCTGTGGTTCATGTCCCCTCATTCCTCCCGGCAGTGGCATGTGATGGTGTGTCGGCAGTGCCATTGGTGACTGCCTATTAGCGCCTGCCTGCTGTTGTCCACTTACAACCTGCAGCAGTGGTGGCACCAGGCCCCCTGCATTGCCCTGTGCAGGCATTGCCATCGGCGGCTGTTGTGTATGCATCTGCGCGTGTACTACACTCCTGGGTGGCAGTACATTGTGTGTTTGGGTTGACGGGTCTCCGGTGGTCAGTTGGGCTAAACCCCGTGCCACCCCCTGTAAACCCTCACCCAGTGGTTCGGGTGCAGCGCCAGGGCCTGCACCCCCTTTCCGTTGTCCAGGTGCAGTACTCGCCGTGCCACTCCGCGCACCCTGATCCGTTTTAAACAGGTGCGATATCAACCGTGGGGGGTCTGCACCTGTCACACCTGCACCAATCCCCTTTTTCCTGGGCCCGGGCGCCTTAGTACTGTGGTGACCGTTGGCCGTAAGAGTGCTCGATGTGCGCACGACACAGAAACCTCTTCCCATGCGATCGGGCAGGGTGGGCTGTCGCGTTACCCCGAAGCTCTGGTCACGGACCGCCTCCTCGTCCCGCTTTTTGTATCTCTGAAAGCGGGGTGGGGGTGTTTTATGTTTATATACTTGGGGTGCGTATGAGAGGGTGCGAATGTGGTATACCCGTGGATGTGCATATGATATACTGTCCGTCCAAGTAGTATGGATGGAATGCACGCATTGGATAACAGAAGCTTATCACCACACACCAATACACGAATACCGTCATTTTATGGTCCAACAGTGTCACGTGCGACACCCCAACCTTCCGACCCAGCCAATTGACAATACCAAACACGAGCAATCCACGGCACCTACTAACAAATACACTCACACAGTTGTATAGCATTACACACACTACTAACCAAACACTGCTAACTTCCCACACTACTAACTACACACACTACTAACTACACACACTACTAACTACACACTACTAACTACACACACTACTAACTACACAGCTACACACAACCTCACAGGGGTTATTCACCTACCGATCGCGCTGGACTGGCCTGGTCCACTCGCCACGCAGAGGACTTCATCGTTGGTGTGTGGACAGGTGAGGCTGCGCCTGCTTTCACACTCTCACTAGCCACTCCGTTAACGTTTATGTATTTCGTACTTGTAATTGGTGAGGCTGGTCGTTGCTGCGTCCCAGCGCCTGCACCCACACTCTCACCAACAACCCCGTTAACGTTTATACTTGTTGTGGGTGGGGTGGTACTTCCTATCCCGCCGGGTTGGGCCGCATCTCTGCGCGTGTCTGTGGTCGTGTGACATACCTCCATCGCCCCACTTCCTGATGTCTGGCTATCTGAGCTAGCAGGCGTCTCCGTAGTCGTATGCCGCACTTCAAGCGTAGGGGAGTGTGCGCGGGTGGCTCTGCCACCCACACCAGGCAGGTCAGCCTGACACCCCCGGGCGATGTCACCGGTGTCACTGGTGCCGCACAGGTCTTTCATGCCACTGACTGGGTCGTTGACAGGTATACTCCCCATGTTCTCAGTGCGACTAAACCCCTGAGACCCGACAGTATCCGCACTCTCCCTTGTATCCGCGTCCACGCCTGAGCTCGCGACGCCGTTGGTGTCATGAGGGACGTCTGCGTCAGTGCGGTACATGGCTGCATTGACCCCATTGGGACTGGCCCCATTCTGCGTGGTATTGGACCGGTGGTGCATAGCTGTGTTATGGACCTTGTCGGTGTCACCGGTGTCCCATACGTCACTGTCATGGGCGTCAACAGAGCTATTGCGCATACTATCACCGTCCATATTTGCACCCCTCTCTTGTCTACTGCCCGCTTCACAACCGTGGTCCAATGTCGGTTGATCCGAAGTCCTCTCTGCGTGTGTATGTGTCGCCATCTCGTCGCCTACTTGACACGTGTCTGTGTCTGTGCTTTTGTTTGTGTCTGTGTTTATGTCTGTGTTTGTGTGTGCATTTGTGTCTGTGTTCATGTCCCCATCCAAAGCCCGTACCCCCGTCTCCACCGGACCTGTTTGTCTCTTCTCCTCCGTCCCCCCGAGGACACTCACTGTTATGTCCGTGTGTGTTCCGTCTGTGTTGGTTACCATGTGCGTATCCGCCTCCAAGCCCATACAGCCGTTCCTGTCCCCCGTATCCATACCCTCTGCAGCCGCAACAGCAACCTCAGCTGTGCGCGTATCATTCCCATCGTCGCGGCGTGGTGCCTTTGCCATAGCCCCAGCCCTGTCTGTGCGATGGGTGGAGCTCTGTAGCATCTCCTGCACTCTGCACTGGGTTTCTTGACCCAGGATACTCCAGAAGGGATGGGTGTACCCCCGGATACAAAGATAAGCCAGATAGTCCTCTACCTTTGTGTAGGGCTTGTCGCCGGCGCAGAGCTCGTCCAACATATCAAAGCCACCCACAGCGTCCTATACTCAAGAGAGAGAAGGGATGTGAACAATAGTAAGTATGAACACATACACATTTGTCAACAGCATAACGGGTGGATGGCTATGAGATGACCGTTTCCTCGTCATATTTATGCACATATACATATTGACACATATGAGAGAGAGAGAGAGATGCCCATTTCATCGTCATGTTCATGCACACATATTCACACAAATGAGAAATAAATGACCGTTTTCTCTTCATGTTCATGTACACATACATATTTACACATATGAGAAAGAGATGACCGCGGTAGGTATTATGACTCGGCCCGGCCATGTGCACTGGAACTGCCAGTCCTGGATCGCTCAAAAGCGCGTAATTTCCATAGACATACTTCGGCGAGAGCGAGAGAAAGAGAGAGAGAGAGCGCGCGAGAGAGTGTGTATGTGTACATGCGCGCGCACAAGGCAGCTGAGACACT